ACATAATGTACTATTAAAAACTATTACAAATATCGTTATAAAATTTTAACACAAGTTTTATTTATTTAAAATCTTGATTCTGTACAAATTTAAATTTATTTCGATTGGTAGAGGCGATTTTATACTGTTTTAAATATAAAAATCATGTAAAAGTAAATAAAAAATTACATTATTTTGTAAGGTAAACCGCTAAACAACATTATTTATCATCAACCCAAAGGGCAAGCACAAAAAGTTAAAACGGTTTCTGAATCTTAAGTGCTTAGACATTCAAATATTAAAAAAAATAATGGTGTTAATAAACAAATGAATTTTATCCAAAAAAATTGTAACGTGACTTGATATTAATGAGTATAATATTTTAAAATATTAATATAATTAAAAAATATATATTTTAATTTTACTTTCAACATCAAAATTGGTAGGCTCATTTGGGGAATTTCTACTCTATACTATTAGAAATACATACATTTACACAAAACAACCATGAGTTGCAACTCCAGGGCTCCCACGGTTAAATTACAAATTTTATTAAACGCAGTCAAGTTGGCCTACTTATATTTAATTTTTAGGAGTTTTAGGAGATTGATGGCAATTTTAGGAGAATTTTAGGAGTTTTTAAGATTTAAGCCAAATTTTAGGAATTTTATGAATTTTAGGAGGTGTGGGAGCCCTGCAACTCTGTCCAAATTATACAGATTATTTACCATTTTAAATTTTTAATATTTCTTTTTAAAGAAATAATAAAATATGTATAGGTAATTTGGATTTTTTTAATAAAATTAAGAAATTGTCGATAAACTTTGGTAAATAATAAATTGCTCCAATTAAATTTATATTATATTTATTAGGGGAGCCATTGGGCCAGTATGGCCGAGCAAAAAGTTATCTCTTTTATTTGATGTATATAAATTAGATGTAGGTCCCATATCTAATAATTAAGATATCGGTAAAAGTTTAACAAATGGACATTTTTATTGTGTAAACCTTCAAAATAAAATAATCTGACATTAAATCCTGGGACAAGACACATACTTTGTGTATAGGGTGGTTTTACCCTTTACACCCTGTATGTAGAGGGGCTTACATATATGTATAAATGATAAATACCTATATCTATATATGAGTGATATGGATTCAAAACCTGCCAATTGCGTTTTAAAATAATAGAAGACAAAATTCAAGACAATGTATTATCATAACAATATAAAAATATGTATGTATATATGACAGAAAACGTGTATACACGTTTTCTGTCATACTATTTTAAAATGCAATTGGCAGGTTTTGCACCTATACCACTCATATATAGGTATAGGAGTATGTATATGAGCCCCGTTCTATATTTGTTGGCACAGTGAATTCAATGGTATCAGTAATTCCAAGTTTTCTCCCAGTTTTTTGTTTTTGGACAACAGTTGGTTGTGTGTATACATTTACAAATGCATTTGTATACAAGTATGATATTTCTAATCGTATAATTCTAATTTTGGTTAACCTACAAAAATATCTTTTCACTCTGTACAATATTGAAAATATTTGAAAGGAAATATAAAGCATACAAAAATAAAAAATAAACAGTTTTACACCCTATAGGGTAATCACCAAAGCATTAAAGCTGGGTTCTAACAGAGAAATAACGTAATATAATTTAATTTAACTTTAAAAGTAATTTAATTTACTTGCGTTCATACAAAAAGTAACGTAATTTAATAGTGTTTGAAATTAAAAACAATATTTTAAAGAGAGTGCTTACTTAATGTATATAAAACTTAAAGTTTTAGATATATATATATATATGGCTTACTTTGGTAACTACAATCGAAATATTTGTCTTATTAGTAAAACCGTTTACACAAAATAGGTTAGATTCTCCCAAAATAGGTTAGATAATACGAAATAACCTTGAAATAACGTAATTTAATTTAAAAGATAAAAGTTTGCCAACTATTAAATTAAGTTTTAAATTACATCACTGTATGAACGTTACAAAGGATTGTTGGGTTTTTAACTTTTAAGTTAAATTAAATTACATCTTAAATTAAATTACTTTTCTGTTAGAACCAGGCTTTACAAAATGATAACACTCATATATGTTTGTTAAAACAACTATAGTTTATATATAAACCATATACGTACCTATATAACAATTGTTTAACAATTAACAATTTACAATTAACAATTATTTAAATAAATATCACAGCAATAGGTTAAACGATGTATACACGTGTAACTTAACAATCGAATAAAAACACAATTATGTTTTTATTCGATTGTTTTGCGTCATATATACAACGCATGCGCACAAAATCAACCGCGAGTTTAAAATGCATATTTTTGCGGAAATAATTGTTTTTCACCATCAACGAATAACGTGTATTAAAGAAAAAAGTCTTTGTCAAACAATAATAACAATTTTAAATGGATAAATTAATTAAAATACGTGTTATAAACAAATAAAAGGTAATGTCATTTAAATGAAAATGATCGTCCCTGCGGGGTCACTTCGTGACATAGAAAGATCACGCTCGAGTCACAGCTTTACATAAAATGACAAACAAAATCACTATGTCAGCAATGGAATATCAAGCTGTGACATGTCACGTCGTGACTTTTTCGTGATATCACAAATGTTTACTGGGGTGTTACCAGAGTTAATTATAATTTATTATAATGACATACAATATTAAATGAAAATATATTAATATAATATTTTTGATATTAGAATATTAATATTCTATTTATATTTAAACGTGCAGTTTTTAATCATGCAATCCATGTATTTTAAAATAAAATCGATTAAATCACACGAGACTATAATATGAATTCATAATCTACTCACGTGTGAATTACGAGTTCAAGACTTCACGTGTGAAATCATATAGCACACATTATTCACTCACGCGTGATTTCGTATTCACGTTTGCTATCTGGGAATGTAATAAGAATTAATTAGACAGTAACAAAAAATTTAATGTTTAAACAAACAGTAAAGTACACTACTTAGTTACAGTTGTTGAGGACCTTAACATTCGAGCTTTTTCGGCTTCTTTGTTGACTTTTGCAGTCACTTTGTTTTTTTTAATTTCCGGTACCTCAGTTTCCTCCCCAGATTCAACCTCGACGATGTTGCGCTTGAAGTTTGTTGAAGTTTGTGTATCTTCTCTGTTTGTGTCTTTTTTTGTTTGTAGTTCCCTAATAGAGTAAACCTTATCTTTAATTTTGAGGCTGTTGAATTTTATAGTGGCCTTTTCTCCCTTTTCTTCAGCTTCTTTCTTATATTTTCGCAGAATTTTTGTATTTTCCTGATCTTCGGGACACTGATCTTGGCTTATGGCAATATTTGTATTTTTTAGTTTATAACAGTTTTTTATTACCGCAAGTTTTTTATAAAATGAAATAAATTCTACTACAATTGGCTTCTCTGCAGATTTTCCAATGGTATAAATATGACTTAAGTCTTGTTCAGATATTGGGACTAGCAACGTTTCCTTAAAAAGTTTTAAAACTTCCTCAATAATGTTTGTTGGAGTCAAAGTGTTAAGACCAAATATTACTATGTTATTTTTTCGGCTTTTTCTTTCTAATGTTAAAACTTGTCTTTTTAGTGTAGTGTTTTCGGTTTCTAGTTGTTCGATCTTATCTTCGTAGTTTTTTATTTTAACATTAATTTCTTCTTTAAACTTTGTAAATTCGCTCTTAAGGGTTTCCTTTACGTCTTCAGTTTTTTGTTCAAAATTAGTAGTAATATTTTGAAAAAGTTCTTTCATATATTTTTTTTGCGATTCAGTAAAATCTGCCATAATTAATTTTAAATACCTAGTTTATGTGCTTATTGGTGTGTGGTTTACTTTAGGTTAGACGCAAAAAATCGCTTGACTTTTTTTACGCAACTGTTAAGTGAGATTCTTAATAAAAATCTTTATATTAGGTATGTAATACAATTTAAGATTCCCGTGTGTTAGATCTTTGGATGCATGCTTTATTAGGTTTATTGCCAATTCCTTATGTTGTTTTTTTTAATTTAAACTTTGTTGAAATATGTTAAAATTTGGTATATAGGGTACTCTTCTTACCCAAATTTTTGTGTTGCTTAGCTAAAGGTCACCACACACCATATATAGAGTTATTTTTAAGTTGTATGTCAAGGGTGGATTACATAAAACCTTGTAGAATCAATTTTTTTGGTTTTTTAACATACAACCTTGTTACTTATATTAGGGTGATGAGATGTTAATTTAACTGATTATTGTTAGCCCCCCCCCCAATATTTGAAATTAATATTTTTAAGTTCTTTACTTTTCATTTAAGATTCTTGTCAAATTTGAAAATTTATTTTTTCTATTCCTATTACGGAATTTGACCCTTCTAATATTACTTTTATCTGTGGAATGACATATATTCCGTAAAGTGTTACAGAATGAAATATTCTACATCTGATGACAGAATAAACACTCGTGGCAACATCTCAGTTTTTAATACAAATTTTAGACCGATCCAACCTCACTTTCTTCCAATTAAATTATTTTTCTATGGTATTTTTTGGAAACGTAGAAAAAGAATAGTCTGAAACACGTTTGGAATTGCATATTCCGCTCTCGTGAAACCGTCAAACTCGCCCTCGGCTCGTGCAAGATACATGCCTATACCTATAGAGACCATGTCATATCAGATAGACCTTTTATATTTTTGACAAAAAACGTCAAAAAATATAGAAACTCTAGCACCTTCGGTCATCTATGCTCTAGCATAGGAAAATAAATAGGGAAATTCATAATAGCAATAGGGATTTATAGCATAGGTAGATTAATCTATGATTTATAGTGAATTTTTACATCACTGGATAGGGAGTTATTTGTTACCCATCTGGCAACACTGTCTCCTTCATTAATCTAAACACAGAATGTTCGGGGGTAATGGCCTTTAGCTTACTTAGGACGGATGGCTTTGTATACAATTTCTAAACAGTAGTTTAAATATTCCAGTAATTTTTTACCTAACCTGTAAGCTTTGTGTAAATTACATGACAAATATATTTATCTGAGCTGGCCTAACGGACATATTTATACCATTTAGGTAATTTACAATAAAGTGTTTTTAGCAAGAATGACAAGAAAAGTGAATCAATCTACTGATACTCTTGATACTTCCGATTATGAAGATGGATCAGTTGAAAAGAGCGTTAAAATATTTGCCAAGAGAATGCTAAAAACCACCCTGTTTGTGGGGACCTTTCAGGAAAAACGTTTTGTAGAATCTTTAAATGCCTATAGGGATGTTATAAAGATTAACGATGAGGAAGAAAGGTTTATAGAAAATTTAAGGTCTGTAAAAATTAAGGTTCAAACTTCATTAACCAAAAAATGGGTGGGCATAACTAGTCCAACCACAGCAGGAGCCCCTGTAGGGCATTGTCTCTGGGTTGATCTTGGCAAGAATATTCTAGGAAAATATTGGTTTAAAGTAAAAACCGTTGAGCTTACTGATAATGAGTTCAGATTAAAATTGGAGATTGTAAGACCTTACAAAGCTGAATCTTTGTTTGGAGATAGTTCTATGGAAATGGACAATATTGTTAATTTTGATTTTCAAAAATATTTAACTAGTATCTGTGATAACTTGAAACTTAACACAAAGTATTTTCTTATCCACATTTTAACATTACAAAATATTAAGGAGACAACAGTATTTTTAAGTTTGTTATTGGCAACTATGGTCACTGCTTTAGTTCAAACAATTAAATATTTAATGGAATATTTTTTAAAACTAATAAAGACCATTTCTGAATTTATTAAGTCTGTCACTCCTATTATGATAACAACAATCAAGGTTTTGGGTGGAATTGCAACCAGCATAATCAACTCTATTACAGTTATGTTCCAAGGAAAACCAAATCTTGATCGTAGAAACACATATCAACCTGCATATCCACAAATTAAAGGCAGCTATTACCAACAACGTGCTTTACCATATAAATCATCAGTGGTTATAACGGAAATAGAAGAATGATATTGGGGGTTAAGTTATTTTTACAATGTTTTAAAATTTAACATTATTTTTTTTATTAACTTAAATTATTAATTTATGGATATTGTATAATAAATTATTTTTATTTTAGTAAATGACCTTATAATAATTATGAATTATTCATGGTTTGTTATTTAACCCCACCTATAAAAATGTACTTAATTAAATGTAAGATTATTAAACTTAAATGTAGTACTATGATTTGTTCTGTATATCCTTTTTCTATGCTATATATAGTACTCTGGTGTTTATGAATATTTATTTTCATAAATTAACTCAAAGGGATTAAGAGGGTTCCCAAATCATTCATTTTTTGAGCAGCATTAAAAATGAGTTATTTTGCAAATAATTTTGTTTACCCCAGAAAAAGTTTTTGCGCTTGGTTCCTTTTTGATAAACGCTATCCTAGCTACTATGCAGTATTTGAAGCCTTCAAATTGAAGGGGTAATAAGGAAGTAGGCTACAAATTATTATTTTTTGGAAAATGAGGGTGTCCCAGAACTCGCGCCACAGAAAAAGGGAACGTGCCGAATGTTATACGAAACACATACTAACTTGCATAGAAAAATTAAAATCAAGATACATACACCTTAATTAAAATGATCCAACGCAAAGGACAAGCGAGATAAGAATAAAAAAAAACAATAGCCAATCCTAATACATGGCCATGTATTGGGATTGGCTATTGTTTTTTATATGCATATACATAGAGAATTCTTTAAATTGCTGGGGTACTTAGGATGCATGATAAATAATATATATATTATCAACAATATTGTACTTAGGATGCATATGCATCCTATAACTTTTTTTTTGTAATAGACGCATGCGTCAAAATGTAATAGATTTGGGATTTAAGGTAATATACTATTTTGAATAAGATTTTTTTAATTATTTGACGTTTTACCGTTGTCATTAGAATAAAATTGAATTTTTACATGCTTTAAAGCAAATAATTATAATAATAATTATAATCTGTGCATGGTGCTTATGCTATTTTAATAAAAACTTTATAAACATAAATTTATAAATTCTCTCTATGGAAAATTATTTTATTAAGTCTGGCAAAACTGCTCGAGTGTTTGACGTTTGTTGTGTGCTTATAACATACATATACCTATAACTAATAAGTTATAGGTATTATACCTACCCGGACAACATTCGTGATATTCATACGAACATCATGTCGTGATTTTCACAAATTTTATTCATACTGATATCATACGGAAGTCACCGCGTGATAAATGAAAATCATACGAACGTCACGTCGTGATTTTCACAAATTTTATTCATTCGGATGTCACTGCATGAGAAATGAAAATCATGTCGTGATTTTTTATGCCATCGCTGTTTGCGAACGCGCCAACCAAAACATATACACACAAATTGTACTAAGCAGAGGCGCGGCTAAGGTCGCAGCCGCAAGCCGCAGCCGCATCAACGAAACTGTACCTTTACGCCAACGACCTTGGTTGCTACTGAACGCTACTGCTACTCCTACTTTTTAGAACTATAAAACCGGCTTAATAGTTTTGGAATTTGGTTGCTAGAATAATAAAATAAATTTGAAATAATCATTTATTCTCTAAAAACTTATAACAAAATAAAAACAACATTCGGAATGAAAAATGTTTACATTTTGGCCAGACCAACAACACCACAGGCAAGACGAGCCCCAGCGTTTCCAGTTGATTTGCTCAACTCATGGCCCCCTTGGCCTAAATCATCAGGGTCGGCGTGTACTACAAGAGTACGGCCAATGATATTGTGGTCCCCATCAAGAGAAATCATTTTGTCAACAATGTTGACTTTAGCGACGCCAGCGTCTCCAGCTTCGATGTTTCCAAGATCGCCTACGTGACGGGACGAGTCGGTGGGGCCGGCATGTTCCTTGTTGTGGGGATTAAAGTGGGCCCCAGCGGATATACAACCATTGGTGTTGTCTCCAAACTCATGGATATGGAAGCCATGTAGACCTTTGCCCAAGCCAGTAACTTCACCAGTTACCTCTACAGCTCCATTATTGTCCTGTAAACATCTTGAAATGAGAAAAATACGTTTTAAATCCTTGAAACTCTACCTGTTGGGTGAACCATAGAGTTCCCTTAACATCAGCACCGTTTAATACGCAAACTGCTTTTTTTGTCATTTTACTGTTATCTATTGTTGGGATCGCAAAACTGACTAAGCAAATAAGTTAATTATATACCTATTTATTAAATGCACTTGTGTAATTTCAAGGTCAAAGCCGGAAAAATACAAGTCATATGCATATAGTCTCTTCACAATTATAATCACGAAATCAAAATTTAATTTTACGAATTAATTGATAAATAATTTAAATTTTGTATTTAAAAATATTACCATTAATGTTTCCAAACACAGTAATTTATTTAAAATGTAATTAATAAATACCAAAATATCATACGATTTTAAAAAATATTTTCTTTACGAAATAGACTATATTTAATTAAAAACAAATCTTCCTTATCGACTGATTTGACATTATAAAAATACGGCAACGTTGTATTTTACTTTAAACTTAACCAAACTTTTGTATATTAAAAAAAGTTCACTTATTTTTTTATTTAGATGTAATTCAACATTTAAAATGATTGGATTAATTTCGGAACTGGAGGCTGCGGCGGGGATTATAATGGTAGTGTAATTTTTTTATTTTTCGTTGCACGGAAATTATTCTCTAAAATATTTTAGGCCCCCACAAATGTAGTTTCCAGTGAACAAAGACACGCTGCAGAAAATGTGTTTCTAAACTTTCGTAAATCAAAATCACCTTATTCAGTATGCCGGGAAATACTAGAGAAATCACAGAATGAATATATCTTATTTGAAGCTGCTGAAGTAATAAGAGGGGCTATTATACGGGAATGGTCATTTTTAATGGAAGATGATAGGGATTCTTTAAGACAGTATTTATTTCAATATATTACAAATAAGGCTGTACCCCAATTTGTCCAAAACCGAATTTTACAGACCATAGCTATAATGGTCAAAAGAGCAAGCATAAATGATGGTGGGAGAAATAGGACTGTTGTTTTGCAGGATGTGGAAAATTTAGTCATCAATGGGGACCATAAAAAGGTAAAGAAAACAATTTACCAAATAAATGTAAGTATACATTATCTGTTTTTATTTATATTTTTAGAAAATGCTTGGTTGTTTTCTTATAAAAAACCTACTGCAGGAATATTCAAATACATTGCAATCCACAGATGTCGGACTGCCATTTGAGGTTCATTTTAAAGCCAAAAAGGATTTTGAAAGCTTTGACTTAAAGAGGATATTCCAGTTTTGTGTTTATCTATTATCAGAAGTTGTTAATACCGACCCACCATACCAAGAAAGTATGCTTCAATTAACCAATCAAGTCCTTATAATCTCAGAAACTGTTCTACAGTGGGCTTATATTGCTCCAATGCATATCCTTTTTAATAATTTAAAACTTTTTAGTCACAATTCACAGTTTGTGGATTTTGTTTGTAGAGAAATTATTAGTGATGGGCATAATCAGATTATATCAATACTTTCATTCGGATTTCAATATTGGAATAATTTAACCAAATTGATAATTTAAATGAAAGTATGCGATTAATATTCGCCGATTATTTTCGAATTAAATAATCCGCGATTATTTATTGCATATATTCAGTCGGATTTCAAATTGAATGAGTTATTTGGTGACTTGAATATAGTAATTTACGATTATGATGATACAATATGATTATAAAATTTGTTTAATGTTATGATATATCCTGATCTTGAAGAAAACACCCGATAAGAAGTATTTGAGCAGATTATTTTTAATTCAAATTACAATTATTCCAATAATCGGATTCAACGATTATTTCAATAATTGGATTACAGGTTATTTTTAATTCGAATTCGCCCATCACTAGAAATTATTCAGTGTCCTGAAAATGGCCTACTCATGTTAGGTACCTATAGTATATTTTAAGCATAAATATATATTTTTATAGTACAGTGGTAGACATGGAATTTTGAATGTCATATTTTGGTTGTCCATGTATAAATCCATAAATAGCAATATTGAGCATATTTGCTTTCACTGTCAAAATGACAAGACTAGTGATAACTGGAAGTAAGGTTAGTTGTCCATAAAGGAAGTTTAGATTTTGATGTCAACAGGATGATAGTTATTCAAAGTTATGTATCTGCCATTTTACCTACTTACTTTCAAAAATTAAATTTATTTTCACTATTTTAGATTTTAAAGAAATTTTTACCCAAATAAAACAATAAAGACAAATATAAAAAATTAAAATTTGTTAGTAATAAAAAAGTTTTAATGATTTAGTTTAGATTTTTTGACAAGCTGCCAGAAAATCATCTATCAACCATGTACATTTTAGATAGGTGCTAGATGCCTTATTTATTGTGTTTCCATAACAACTCTTTAGAGATACACGCCTACTTTGCGCTCGCTGTCTTTGATAAGGTCTCCTATACTTTAGGATTTTTACTGCAGTAAAGTTAGTCCACTTTAAGGACATTTTTTATACACAGATGTGTGTTATTCAGTGTAGTAAGATAACAGCAGTTGTTTAAACTTAAAAATACTTAATAATTTGACTTTTTTTATTTTCATACTTAAACCATTAATGCTGTGCTAGGTTTAATTGGGTAGGATTCAGAGCTGGGAAAGTTACTTCTGAAAAATATCTAGTTACTTTTTTAAGAAACTTTAAACAAAATAACTTAGTTACCTCCGGTAACTACCCAGTAAGCACCAAACACTCGGCAAACAGTCGGCCTTCGCTCAGTATAGGCGGTTGACCAGCGGTTCGGCTTGCCCCCAGTCGTTCCGCTTATGGCCCGCGTTATGTTAGCCCGGTACCGTTTGGCCATGTTCTAACCAAAGTCGGCCAGAATACGGCATGCCGCTGCAAAATCGTTCGGCTTGCCCTAGCCGGCCCGCTTACGGCCGGAATACGGCCTGCCGCGGCGTAAACAATACTATCGCTAACAAAAAAAACTCATACAGCTTAAAAATCTAGTGTTCCTGATTTTCTATCATTTCGTTGGAGTAATTATGGCTTTTAACATAATACGTCACATTTGAAAGGTCTAAAATTAAATACAAAGTTAGGTTGAAGTTTGAAAAAAAAATAATATTTCGTCATCCCTCTGTTTTTGTCAATTACTGCCCGCAAACGGCAAAGCATGGAAGTCGCCGTCTTGCTTTATCTGGTTCCAAATGGCTTCAATGGCTTGCCAGAGTTCGTCTGCATTGTTTGGTTGAAAATGTTGTTAAAAAAGTCATAATGGATGTGACTAGAGGCAGGTATAACGATACGCATATCGATATAATATCGATACATATTCTGCAAACTCTGAATCGATATATCCTTTGCTTATCGTTAGTTTATATCGTTAATTTAAAAATCACGAATTAAGCAAAATAGAAAATATGCGAACGGAAAAAAGTTAAACCCAAAGACGTAGATAACTTTCTCTGTCTATGGTTAAACTCTCTATGTATATGGTAAACTCTCTATGTCTATGGTTGCCGATGTGATTGGTGCAATTCAAATAAAGAAATCCAAGACCTTGAAATACGCAATTTCTTATTTACCATAGTGTATCGAAAAGTTTCAAATTTAAACACAATACAAATTTAAAATGTTATAAAATCTGTATAATTTTGATTTTTTAAATAAAATTTGAAATTTGTCGATAAACTATGGTGAATAATAAATTGCAACAATTAAATTTATGTTCAATTTATAGGGGGGCCGGTATGGCCAAGCAAAAAGCTATCTTTTTTTCGCAAACTTCTATTTAAATTCTGCTTGCGCAGAACTTGTTTATTTAAAGTCATTATAAACTCATATTAATTAAATGTGGGTCCCATTTCTAATATTTGAGATATCAGTATACCCAAAATCTACCAGCCGCCACTGAATTATATGTAATAATAAGAATATACGTTACATTATTATAGTTTTTGTTATTTATTAGGTATTTATTCTGATCTGTGTTATTTTAAAAGGCGCAATTGGCCTTCTAAACTGATTTTTGTTTTTTTAATAAAGTTTATCTTTTATTAAAACCATTTCTTTTAAATTTAAACCTACAAAGAAAGAAACCGATTTTTTTTTATTCAGCTCGAGGCAATATAAAAATATCGATATTATCGATAATATTTTTTTTTATCGATACTGTATCGATACACCCCCTGTATCGTTTTACCTGTCTCTAGATGTGACAAAGCTCGATGTCAGCTTGACATTGACGGAAAAGTTTTATTCACACAGCCACAATATAGCTGTATGAGTTTTTTGTTAGCGATAGTACATCTTACGCAAGCGAGCTAACTATAAATAGCGATGGGTTGCAATATTTAGTTGGAAGTGTGCGTCTGTAATGGCATAGCTGAACATTAATTGTTTGAAGTCCCCATCTCTTGTGTGTTAAACCTACAGGATATACCTATCCAGGACGTCTGAAGGCTTTTTTGAATTGCCAGGCTGTTGTGGCCGGCACTCGGGCAACTATACATAGCCGACACTCGGCCGAGTAAACATAGCCGACATTCGGCCAGGCGGACATGCCCTGTCTACATGCCGGAACAAATACATGCAACGTATTCGGGCCGTATGCGGGCCGGCTACCTTGTGCTTACTAGGTAGATACTTTAAGTTAAAAGTATCTTTAGTTACAAGATACTTTAAAAAGTATCTAAGATACTATATGAAAGTATCCAAGATACTTTTAAGTACCTAAGTTACTTTTAATTATGAATAAAAACTATAAAATTATGAAAATTCAACCAGTTGTTGTTTGTTTTTCTTACTTTAACCATAGCAACCATTATAATACAATTTATAGACCACATAGAAGATAAATTTATTTTAGACACTGTAGTGATTGATTATAGCATATGCACATAAAAATCAAAAGTAAACAGGTAAAAACTTTTTTCAACAAACGTTAGTAAAAGTATAATTTTAAATGCATACGCATACGGCTAAAATGTAATTTTTAGACAATTTTGTTAAAAATAATTTAGTTTTAGCACTGGTTCTAAAAGTAAAGGACGTTATTTACTTTTAAAACTAGAAAGTACGAAAATATAAAAAAATAAGCTTCTGCATGTGATATAATATCAAAGTTGAATAAGGATTTTTATGTCTATTCTACTTTTATAGATGCTTCAAAAACATCTTTTAATTTTGTTATTAAAACCCAAACAAAATTTTATGTTCTGCATTTTTATAAAATAATTTTATTACATTTATTTTTACGAAAGCGTATTTGACACGAAAAATTCTACTGGCTTTGGTATTTTCAGCTCATTTTTTTGCTGCATGAGTTGTACTTTATAGGGATAATAGCGTTTTAGAATTACTAATTTACTTTATTAAAATATATAGAATTTAAGGTGACTAGATAATTATTAATTATTACAATATTTTCTTAACTCCAACAAACTACCCAGAAGAATAATTAACTTGTATGAAAGAGTTTACCAATCCGAAGAGCCTCCTCATCTTAAACTTGACAAACACTGGGCCGACGTAATCCTTAATCCGGAAATTATGACGCTGATGTTTCGGGTATTTTGGAAAATACGCGATCAGGAAGAACTTGCACATCATGCCCTAGCTTGTCTGGTGCAGCTGTCGACATTAAACGGACCCGTTGTGAGCGAGGAGGCCGAATCTATTAAATATTTACAAAATTTTGTGGTTAATTTCCTAAACTTAGTATCCAAGTAAGTAAAGTATTTTAACTTTTACTATACCGGACTATACCTGGACAGTTGGAGGTATGGTCCAGGCTGGACTATACCTTCAACTAAAGGGTGTTTTTTTAATATAAAATTAAAAGTATAAAAATGAAAATACTGTTTAAAAATTATGTTAAATCAACAGTTTTTGCGGTTAAATACATTTAATATTTTCTTGGATTTAAATTAACTATATATAGTTAAGAAAATATTGAATGTTAAACTGTTGATTCAATTGTTAACGACATGATTTTTTATGCCGTCGGTGTTTGGATATTCATTTTTGCGACACATTCGTACATTGAAAGAAAAAGTATACCTACATATGTATTGAATCAACAGTTTTTGTGGTTAAATACATTCAATATTTTTTTGGATTTAAATTAATAGTTAATTTACATCCAAGAAAATATTAAATGTATTTAACCGCAAAAACTATTAATTCAATTGTTAACATACATTTTCTCACAATGTACGAATGTGGCCCAAAAATAAATATCCAAACATGTCGGTGCACCGATGGCATAAAAAATCATGTCGTGATTTTTTTATGCCATCCGTGTTTGGATATTTATTTTGCGCCACATTCGTACATTGAGAGAGAAAGTATACGGCCATTCCACGCGTAACGGATGGGACAGTTGCAAGTTTTTATTTACAAAATAACATTGTTCTATTATATTACTAATGCCAAATTTTTATAAATAGTTCTAAACAAAAGCTGTTTAACAAGGTTTTTATTTGGCAAAATTAGGTATCGTGGTTGACTGTTTAATTCCTTAAAAATTAATTTTTTAATTCAAAAAGACTAAAAGTACAATACAATACAATATTATTTTGTAAATAAAAACTTGCAACTGTCCCATCCGTTACGCGTGGAATGGAATATCTTTTTTTATTGAACCCGGACAACATTCGTGATATTCAAACAACGTTTTATAAATTATAACGGTGTAATGTGAATAACAAACTAGGTTTTAAATTCGCAGTTCGCAGGGCTCATATGCATGCGCAAATTTTGCAAATATCACACCGAGAGTTCTACATGATATCACTGTGATGCATGTGTAAGCACTCAGGATCACAGCGTGATAAAAAAAATCACGTTGTGATATCATAACTTCACCAGGAAATCCAGATTGTTGTCCGGGTAATTTTTAACCACACTTTTTTCCAATTTTAACCTAAAACTAACTTGATGGTATTCCGCCCACTAGTGCGCGAGTGAGTCACGCAGGTAAAATTCTCAAGTAAGGGTGGGGTGTGGCAAGATCCTATACTCATCAATGGTACGATCACAAGTTGAATTCAACTCAGTAGTATGGTCACCTTATTTTAATATCTATATTGATAAAATTGAACGTGTTTAAAATAAATTTGCCAGGTTTATTGCGTTTAAAATGGATTTAAAATGGATAGACTACAATTAAAAAGTTTAGCTAGTAGAAGAAAATGTATTGATGTTATATTTATCTTTAAACTTTTGAATTCTCAAATTAATTCTCCAAAATTACCTACTTGAGAAGATTAATTTTAGAATGCCACAACATCGCACACGACAAAGCAACATGTTTTATGTTAATTTTCATACCAATGGTTACTCCCACAAAATGCCTCTTTCTAGATGTTGCCGTCTTGCGAATGAGACAAATTTGGACCTAAATTATTTAACACTAGCGCAAGTTCGTTTAGCTCTTAACCAAATTTTTTAGTAAACTAAATTTTTTAGAAGAATTTCTATCTGAAATTACCATTTATTTAATAACTGTATTTATTGTGAATTGTAATGTATATTGTATATTGTATTGTATGCTCATATCCTATCTGTAACTGACGTAGTCGTAAATAAAGTATTATTATTATTATTATTAAAACGTGTGTGGCGCAGGAAAAAATATTTATTTCTTGCGGTAACTGAATAAATCATTGTTTGCGATTTTTGGCGTGTTACCCAGGCAGCACACCGTCACGAAAGCATTACTGAAACTGTGAAGCTCGTCACATAACGTGAGGTGATCGTGTGTTCGATTTCATAAGAAATTGGTAGACGAAATAGTGGCCAAACTGCTCTTACTTTAAGCTTCGTTTTCGTATCAAAACCTTAACTGAAGTACATGGTAAAATCGAGACAAAAACCTTACAAAAGTCGATACGAAATATTGAGTAAGTCGTGACGGAATTTTCAATAATTTTGTATACGTATACGTATTCTCAACGTGATAGTGACAAATTTTACATACTTATTTTTACTATCCGTAAAACTCACGCGTCAAGCAACCCGAATAAAATAAACTGGCCTGTAAATCCGGCAAAAGCTACAAAAAAATGGCAGAGAAGATGAAGTGAGGTAATTCAAATTTGAAAACAACAAAATCGTGAAGTTTTCGTTTACAAAATCGGTATGTTTTTCTCCAAGAAAATGCATAACGATATTTAAACATATGTAGATATCTACGTTATACTTTCGTGACAGATGCTTTTAGAGTTCTGCAGCTATTTTAATTACGAAAACCTAACGATTGCGTAAAGTAAAGTCTCTTTTTCGTCACGTAGTATCGTGAAAATTTCTTAAGTTTTTTATCGTGTCTAAAACATAAATATTTCGTTTAATTTGGCGTTAATCCAAAAAATTTGGGTCACGTTTTCGTGACCTCGTGATCTTCAGAAAATTATCGTCACGAAGTGTTACTTGGGTACTAACTTCACGTTCGAGGAATCTCCTCTTTCTCACACGAGTCGCACAATACACCAATATTTACGCTGCTTCATTCATTCTTCAACAGAAAACGTTACTGGGTACTTAATAGTTTTAATGTTTTAATCTTTTTATGTTACTCGGAACGATAACGCCAGAAACGGAGTTTTATTTTTATTCGAGGTTTTGTTACAAGTCCCTACTAATAACAGCTAATTTAAATTTATCTTATAAGGGCCCACCGGGAAACTCCCGGTCGCCCGGTAGGCCAGCACGCTCCTGGTGTGATGACTGTGTTAATGATTTTTTTAGTTTTGTTGTTTATAGATTTTAAATGCTTACTTCGTTTTGACGATTTCTATAATATATTATACATATTATGTACCTATGTAATTGCAATTATTTAAACAAATTATAAACATATGAAACGTCTACAAATTTGCATATGCATTTCTTGTTTGGTAAACCGAGTATACCGTTTTGCTTTTATAACATGCAAATTCCCGATACTTTTTAAACACACCTCTTATTTGATATGTATTGTTTATTTTAGTGTAACCATTAGGAAGAGAGAGTCAGTTGCTATAGCCAATATAGTAAATAAATTGAACTATTTTTCCGACAATGATTTACGAAAATTGCCGAAAGAATTAACCGAATCAATGTATGATGAATTCAGCCGTTTAACGTGTTCTTTTTGTGATTTAGCAGTTAATGAAGAAGCGGTAAGTTATTTTTTTGTAATAAATTCCCCATAAAAAAATTGGTACCTCTTTTTGTTCAAAAATAAGGTATCAACCAAAAATTTTACATTTGCTTTATTTAAATACAGATTTATAAAACTTGAAAGAAAAAGGACAACTTTGGTGATATGTTAAAAAAATATTTCCCAACACCAAAACAAAACACAAAGTGCTTAAATTACTTTTCGCCAACGATGTTGGCATTTTCAGACGCGTGTAGTGTAATTAAATCTAAATGCTAAATCTACCCTATGAATACTAATTATAAGCTAAGGTTGACTAAACCGTAAACGGACACAGTTTACTAAACGGTGGACCGTGATCGCCTCAGTGAACACGTGAAGAGAAACTAACAAACTAATTTATACAAACTAGAGTTGGGTACCGGTCCGTTATCGCTATTTAAAGATTTATTTCTATTCTTATAAATGTATAAACTTTCATATATCGTAGGTCTCATGACATAATCCCTATCTCACAAAAACCGTTATTACAACAATATGTTAATTATTATGTTGAAATTTGGTATCTAACAAAAAACTTACATGATTACATGATAATTTCAAAAAATAAGATTGAAAATCGTTAAATTTCTATATGTTGTGTTGACTTACAGATATCAGTTTTCTTTAAATTGCTCTCCTGAAACATTAACCGTTGTATTAATTCTAGAATACAATCTAAAATTCTTATTTTTTGCAGACTTTTACTTGAAATGTGAGCACTTCTAATAGCAATTCAGGAATTTTAATTTTTTTTTAAGATTTTGCAATATAGTATTATCAAAATCGTGCATTAAAAACAAAAATGTGTCCCAAAAATATTATTATTATTTCTTTGTTTGCAACATGCGGTTGGGTGGTAAATTAGCTAAGCTGATCAGTTAGCTAGCTAATTAACTTAGGTAACTTTTTTGGCCGGCTTAACCGGCTAAATTGTACCGCACTAATTTATACATATACACTCACGTGCAAAATAATCGATCCACACAAATTTTCGATGAATTTAAATCGCAAATAACTTTTTTATTTGATGTCGGATTTAAACGAATATTAAAGAATATTGTAGATAAATTGTTGGCTCACATTTTAAAAAAATACTATAAAATAGACGTACGTTTATAATACAGGGTGGTCCAGGATTAATCTGAAAAATTTTAATGATCGATAGAGCCTGAAAAAACAATAAAAACAAACCCAAAAACATTTTTTTAAAAATACATACTAACACACTCATAGCCCTTCAAAGGCAAAAAAACGTTTTTTTTTTTAAATAACTTCTGCTCAAATTTTGTGTACCTAGGTAAAATTTCTTACAAAAGGCCCAGCGGCGGATATTTTGTGGGGGTTTCCCCTTTTTACCCCCATATTTCGACACCACTGGATTTTATTGGAGAATCATCAGATTTCTTATTCAATTTAGAAGCAACACTTGTGTGTTAAATTTTCATAAGATCAGTGGTTTCGGAGACTTTAAAATTTCAAAAACACCGAGTACACGGAATTTTATCATATTTTATTTTAAATCGGTAACTTGGTAACAATTATGCCACGTTATCAGTTTATAAAATATTATAAAAATAAACTAGCGTCCAGGAGTCATCGTGCAGTTGTTACTGATCCCGTCATATTTTTAGGTTGTTTTATTGTAACGTTGATTGAGGATTACAATCAACGTCTGTAATTAATAATTTAATTGTATTATAATACAAAATCAAACCAACCCAAAAACCACCCTATTGAATAATATATATAATTATATATAATTTCATTGGTAAATTTTTATTGGCCCAATACAATCGTTCAGAAAAAAAATAATTTTTTATTACTAAAATAATAACAAATGTTCCGTGTACACAGTGTTTTTGAAATTTTAAACTGAAATATCTCCGTTAATCTGATAAAAAATAAACATACAAGTTTTGCTTTTAGATTGAAAAATGATAAAAATAAATCTGATGATTTTCTAATAAAATCCAGTGGCGTCGAAAATATGAGGGTAAAAAGGGGAAACCCCTCCCAAAATCTCCGCCACTGGGCCTTTTGTTCATTATATTATCGACGGAAGCTTAACCTACACAAAATTTGAGAAGAATCGGTTTAATGGTTTAAAAATTATTTTGAAGGACTATATCTCCGTTAGTATGCATTTTTGAAAAATGTTTTTGGGTTTGTTTTTATTGTTTTTTCAGGCTCTATCGATCATTAAAATTTTTCAGATTAATCCTGGACCACCCTGTATACAGGTTTAAACAAAAATATGTTTTTTACCATAAGTTTAAGACACTCTGTAGAGTGGAAAAACTGTATATTGTTCTAAATTAAGTTTTATTTATCAAGTCAGATCTATTCTTAACAGTTTTGTTTTTGGTTCACCTCGATATATTTATTTTTGTGGAAAATATGGATTTTTTCAAAAAACATTGCAATTTCCAATATTTTTCTGTATGAAGAACTAAGGTTGCTATGGTCCATCCATAGCCTATGGAGAATGACAGTGACAGTTTTGTTGAATCATCCCATACTTGGACATGTTATATACAGCTTTCAAAAGCTATCAAATTGTTTTTTGTAAATTAATGTGTTAATTTTGAGGTGTCTTCTTACTTTTAAAAATGTCTTCGACTGATGTTGCCCTTTGTACTTTACTTCTTATGACGTTTAAAACACTTGCCACGTAATACTGTGACCGTCCATCCTGGATTAAATTAATAGCTCTGGCAACATCAGTCGGAGACATATCCATTTTATAAAGTAAGAAGACTCCTCAAAATTTAAACATTAATTTTCAAAAAACAATTTGATAGCTTTTGAAAGCCGTGTATGACATGTCCAAGTATTAGTCCAGTCATCTTAGTCAAAATAAGGTAAGAATCTCGGAATGTGAGATACCAAGTTGTATATTTGTGTAAACTTTTATTTTGACATCATAAAACTTGTCTCAAAACCTACATACTGTAAGGCCTCCGCATCTGTCAAAAATTAAGGTCAAAGGGCACAAAAATCAATTTTTTGGACATTTTTGCAAATATCTCGTTTCCTATGGGGTTTAAGTGATTTGTATTTATTATCAATATTATAGAGGGTAAAATTTTCTACAACTTTTGTCTCAAAAGTTTTTTTATACGTTCAATCGTTTTCGAGATAAAGAGCAGTGAGCGCGCAGTGTTTAACTATGTAGAGTATCATTTAAGGTCAACCGGTAGGCCTGATCAAAAATATGCCTCATACAGTTTATAAAATTTTGAGAAATACATAATTATGAATAATTATAATTTTTTTTAAATATTACATCATAGTTAATAACTTTTTTCTTGTCGTATCTATTGTTAATTGAGTATCAATGTATTTAATCACACTTACCTGATTGTGTACTTAGAAAATTACTAAGTGAAATACCTAAATTATTTACCTATTTTTTAATGTTACCAAAGCTATACTAATTACTTGAATAATAAATAATTTCAGCTTCTTCTTCATTTTCGTCTTCAACGACATTTGTCTCCAGGTCTTCCATGATGTCAGGATCAAAGGTCCCATCTTCCCGATTTCTTGCAACCATATCGCGAACCACAAACATTCTTGCAGTTGCAGAATATTGTGTTAATTAGCGATAATATACACGATTAAGATGTTGATGAGCTGCAGCACTCGTTGGTCGAATATTTGATAACTGCACAGGTTTATTTGATTTTGTAGATTTAAGATATTGGGCATAACGGAGATGATCGATGCTTCCCACAGATTTTGAAGCATTATAGACTGCTAACAAAGTTTTAATTTCATTTTTAACCCTTAAACTCACAACTGGGGTCCAAATGGACCCCAGGAATACAACAAAATCTGATTTTTCTCTGATTTTGTTTTTAGATTTTTAAAGTTTTAAAATCTATCATTCTCTTCCTTATAAAAAGTGAAAAAAGATAATCTATAGTAAAGTGTGTTTATCGATCATAGAACCGAATTTACGTTTAAGAAACCAGTGAGGTCCATTTTGACCCCAGTTATGCGTTTAAGGGTAAAAAAATTAAGTTGTGAGTTTAAGTCAAATGCTGCAGCAATTTGATCCAAATCCGGCAGTTGCTCACAAATTCTTAAAAAAGTTTTTTTGATTTCTTACCTCTGCTTAAAATGTAATTAGTGTAAATAAGAATGTACTTAAACTATTTTCCTTGATGATTTTTCAATTACATGGATAGGTTAAAAGTTATAAATGTTATTAAATAGATAGCTTATTGATTAATGAAAAAAGTTATTAATTTTAATGTAAATATTTCTCAACAATAATTTATAAACTGTATGAGGCATATTTTTGATCGGGCCTACCGGTTGACCTTAAATGATACTCTACATAGTTAAACACTGCGCGCTCACTGCTTTCTATCTCGAAAACGATCGAACGAAAAAAAAAACTTTTGAGACAAAAGTTGTAGAAAATTTTATCCTCTATAATATTGATAATAAATACAAATCGCGTAAACCCCATAGGAAACGAGATATTTGCAAAAAATGTCCAAAAAATCGATTTTTGTGCCCTTTGACCTTAATTTTTGACAGATGCGGAGACCTTACAGTATGTAGGTTTTGAGACAAGTTTTAGGATGTCAAAATAAAAGTTTATACAAATATACAGCTTGGTATCTCACATTCCGAGGTGAAACTACTAAGATGACTGGACTATATGGGATGATTCAACAAAACTGTCACTGTCATTCTCCATAGCCTATGGATGGTCCATAGCAACCTTAGTTCTTCATACAGAAAAATATTGGAAATTGCAATGTTTTTTATAAAATCCATATTTTCCACAAAAATAAATATATCGAGGTGAACCAAAAACAAAACTGTTAAGAATAGATGTGACTTGATAAATAAAACTTAATTTAGAACAATATACGGTTTTGCCACTCTACAGAGTGTCTTAAAATTATGGTAAAAAACATATTTTTGTTTAAACCTGTATATTATAAACGTACGTCTATT